GGGTCAAACACACTGCAGGTTTGTTGTGTTTCCTGTACATGAACTCACCCTGGCTGACAACCAACAATACCAGAAGAGCAAGAATCACAGTCTTCATTTTTTTTTTATGATGTCTCGTGTTTGTACACCGATCTCTGTATGAATGTAGCGAAGGAGTAAAGGTGTGAGAAATCAAGAAGTCATATTTAGCCAGGAGCACATCATAATCCACATATTAAAAAAATGTAAATCCCACCTAGTAAATTGTCCTACTGGAGTTTTGATGCCACAAATGCATGCTGCCAGACTGCCTGCTTCTTTTTTATCTGGACTTGCTGAGGAAGTGATACAAATCCAGTGTATCATTAACTCTAAAATTGTCTGCTTGGTTTTACTCAAAAACACATTTGATTTATCAAGGGCAGACATGAATGCTAGGAAAACACACTATGATGACCCAACAGATTTAAAAGGGGAAAATATAAATATTTTGTATTCAGTACTTAAATAAAAACAAAAACAAGTGACTCAATGCTAATGCTACATTTAAATGGTCTGAGCATATTTTTCATGCATTAAGACCTCTGTAAAGCACACTCTGACACATTGACCTTACACCTAGAAATAGTTTCCCAACAAGTGGAATTTGGCACACTACCATTTGGAGAGCAGTATGCAATACTGACATAGAACCAAATCACTTGTGCTGTGCTTGACAGATTGACTTTTGGCTCTGATTGTTTTATTCCTCCTCATTTTATTATGACAACAACAGATCACACAAAAATGAGAAAAAGAATAGAAAACAGAGGGGTGAAATATATTCCATTAATACATCAACAAATCATGTAGGCCTAGACGGGAGTTTTAAGAAATTGTGTAAAAGGAGGATTTCGATTTAGCCAGCCTGAAAAACTGAGACAGGAACATTCAAAACTTGTGAGGGAAGCATTATAATAAAAACACCACTTCAATCTTTACCAATGATGAGCCAGAGTTTAGATGTATTCTGTGAACATAGCTCCACAGTATTGTAAACAAATGCATGCTCTTTCTACAGGTAAAACTTAATATTTATTCTTTCTTCTTCAACTAAATACTAGTAGATACTCATCTCATGAACAGACCCTGATGTAATTTCTCCAAGTGAACAGTAGATGTCGACACATTCCAAGTAAACAGACCACAACGTTTTGACAATTAAACAGGGGCCCGTTTCAGAAAGCAGGTTCAACAAACTGAATGAAAACCTGAACTCTGGGTTGACGAACTCTGAGCTGTCAAACTCAGAGTTTCCGGTTTCAGAACAGGTATTTAAAATTAGTTTAGTCAACCCTGAGTATGTTGAACCTGATGGAAGCGCGTGCGTGGGGATGAAAAAAAGCCATCATCAATGGAGCTCCGATGATACGATTCACCATGGCAACGGGTGATAACGCGGACCATGATTGGCTCTAAACGAAGCAGTGGAGGAAGGATCGATACGTTAACAATATTACATTTTATACAGCATTGCTTATTCATCATTTACCAGACTGGAAATTCCTTAATGAATGAGTGCTGGAATTCTCCTACAGCCTGTTATTCATTTTAAATAGCTACAGGCCTGTTTATTCAGCTGTAACCTGACGGGACTAAATGCCGGTGGCAATAACTGAAGATGAAATATTAATCGAACAGATTAGACACAGGGCTTATGTAGCTTCCCTCCAGTTTAAATCACGAACACAAGGCGTTCCTTTGGTTACAGGCCTTTATTCCGACATTCACGACGTCAAGCATGCCGTGAGAACTAGACAAATAAAATACTCAAATCATAAAATGAGTATAATAAAACACAGAGCATTCTCATAGAGAATAATCATTAAACACATCTTTCACAAACACAAAATAACTTACAAAACCATCCCTTTGCAGACTAAAAGCTGTAAAACCTGCATATAATTAGCTTACTTGACATTCGGATGGACGATGCAATCATGTTATTATCACGTGAAACTCGGCTAATATATTAGCTGTAGTTAGCCTTTCCGACAATATAAACACAACCTAAAACCGTACAAATATCCTTGCATACCTCAATGGCCGCGTTAACTCCAGAAAAACACTTTTAATCACTGTAGACCTTGCTTACATGATGGAATATCATACACCTTAGTTATTTTGGTAAAAACAGCATGTAACCACATGTAAAGTTATTGTAGCTAGAAGTGGGTTACTCATAGCCGGACTAAATCAGGTCTATAGTAAACCTAGATGGTGAAATGAGGGATATTGCTTGCTGGGAGCCTAAATGTCCTCATGACTACCAACACATCCTCTGATAGGCTAAATGAATAGAAGTAGTAGTAATAAAGAGCAATGTGTTTCAAATGTTGCTGTTTGTTTCAATTTGTATGACTCCTTTCAATTCAGTTTTATTTACATAGTGCCAATTCAGTAATCTCCTAGCGCTTTTCATATAGAGCACAGGCCTGTACCACGAAGCAGGATTTGAGCTTATCCAGGTAACTTTAGGGTTAACCCTGGGTTTTCATTATCACGACGGTGGTTGACTTCTTACTGGGTAGAACGCCATGGTAGCCTACCTTATGCTGAACGGCTAACCTGCTCCGGAGCAGGTTATGTTCCAGATAAGAGATCAACTCTATTAAAAATGCCGCCTACTGAAGATTCACTCTCTTGGAAAAAGACACCGTAGGTGATCCCACAGACTGTTTTATAGGCTGCTTTTATGTTTGTTTTGGTGATGTGGAGAAACTTTTGGATAGCGACATCATCCTACAGAGACTGAAAGCCTTGTAAGCTACTATTGCTAGGCCTACAGGGTTCTAGGCTAAACCTGCTTAGGCTACGGCTTTAAAATGTTTTTGGGGTTTTTTGTTCCCCAGTGTGTCCTATATGAAACACGGTGAACATCAAGTTGGATGAGATGTGTAAATTGTGTGGGGGTGGTGATGGCCCAATGGATAAGACTATGCCTTTGGTGTGAGACCTGGGTTCAATCCCCCACTGTGACCATCCACCATTGTCATTGACACTTGGCCCCTAGTTGCTCCAGAAGCGTGCGACCTGACATGTATAGCAATTGTGAGTCGCTTTAGATAAGTGTCAGCTAAAAGAGAATGCAAGTTAACTTGCGTGTTAACTGACCTATGTAGTTATATTAACCCAAACCATGATCTCTTAAACTTAACAAAGTAGTATTGTGCCTAAACCTGACCACATTGCAACGTTTCACAACTTAACATGCCATTTTGAAAGTCTCACTGGATGTTGCATATTCATTTCTGACTGGTTATCTGCTGCAAACACCGCCTCTTATGTAAACGTGCTCACGGCTGCATGGGGAAATCCTGGGTTGTCTTACAGAGTTGATAACCAACTTCGTGGGACCGCTTATCACAACTGTAGGGTTAGTGAAGCCAGATAACAGATCCTGGGCATGTTTAACTCGCTTTGTGGTCAGGCCCCAGGTGTAAAGGTGGGCAACGTGGATCATGGTAGTGCTCTGACATGTAGGCCTAATCAGGACAATGTGGAGCTCTATAGAGGGGTGTGTGTATATATCTATATATATTGAGAGAGACTTTTTTAACAAATAAAAAACTAAAAAATTGGGCGTGCAAAATTATTCAGCCCCTTTATTTTCAGTGCAGCAAACTCTCTCCAGAAGTTCAGTGAGGATCTCTGAATGATCCAATGTTGACCTAAATGACTAATGATGATAAATAGAATCCATCTGTGTGAAATCAAGTCTCCGTATAAATGCACCTGCTCTGTGATAGTCTCAGAGGTCCATTTAAAGCGCAGAGAGCATCATGAAGAACAAGGAACACGCCAGGCAGGTCCAAGATACTGTTGTGGAGAAAATTTTGGATACAAAAAGATTTCCCAAGCTTTAAACATCCCAAGGAGCACTGTGCAAGCGATAATACTGAAATGGAAGGAGTATCAGACCACTGCAAATCTACGAAGACCCGGCCATCCCTCTAAACTTTCAGCTCATACAAATAGAAGACTGATCAGAGATGCAGCCTAGAGGCCCATGATCACTCTGGATGAACTGCAGAGATCTACAGCTGAGGTGGGAGACTCTGTCCATAGGACATCAATCAGTCGGATACTGCACAAATCTGGCCTTTATGGAAGAGTGACAAGAAGAAAGCCATTTCTTAAAGATATCCATAAAAAGTCTTGTTTAAAGTTTGCCACAAGCCACCTGGGAGACACACCAAACATGTGGAAGAAGGTGCTCTGGTCAGATGAAACCAAAATCGAACTTTTAGGCAACAATGCAAAACGTATGTTTGGCGTAAAAGCAACACAGCTCATCACCCTGAACACACCATCCCCGCTGTCAAACATGGTGGTGGCAGCATCATGGTTTGGGCCTGCTTTTCTTCAGCAGGGACAGGGAAGATGGTTAAAATTGATGGGAGGATGGATGGAGCCAAATACAGGACCATTCTGGAAGAAAACCTGATGGAGTCTGCAAAAGACCTGAGACTGGGATGGAGATTTGTCTTCCACCAGGACAATGATCCAAAACATCAAGCAAAATCTACACTGGAATGGTTCACAAATAAACATATCCAGGTGTTAGAATGGCCAAGTCAAAGTCCAGACCTGAATCTGTGGAAAGAACTGAAAACTGCTGTTCACAAATGCTCTCCATCCAACCTCACTGAGCTCGAGCTGTTTTGCAAGGAGGAATGGGCAAAAATTTCAGTCTCTCGATGTGCAAAACTGATAGACGTACCCCAAGCGACTTACAGCTGTAATCACAGCAAAAGCTGGCGCTACAAAGTATTAATGTAAGGGGGCTGAATAATTTTGCACGCCCAATTTTTTTAGTTTTTTAAGTTTGAAATATCCAATAGATTTCGTTCCACTTCATGATTGTGTCCCACTTGTTGTTGGTTCTTCACAAAAAATTTGTTATCTTTATGTTTGAAGCCTGCAATGTGGCAAAAGGTCAAAGTTCAAGGGGGCCGAATACTTTCGCAAGGCACTGTGTGTATATATATATTTTATTTTTACAGACTTGTGTGCAGAGGTGTGAAAACATGAAGATTGTGATTCTTGCTGTTTGTATTGGCTGTCAGCCAGAGTGAGTTAACCTGCCAACATGCAGTCTTTATTACCTAAACTTAAAAATTATATTGCAGTTAGTTTCATTAGGAAGGTGACAAAGATGTGTGGTTTTGTTCCCCCCCAGATGAAGCCTTGAAGTGTTACTGTGGAGGCCTACAGGAGTGTACAAAGTGGCAACCTGCCCACTCTACTATTTATGTGCCTGTAAGTAGCCTACTTTAGTCTTAACTGGGCATGAGCTGCAGTAAAAAACTGTCCCAAGAAAGTGAAGTCTTTCCACTAGGAAAACAATCTCCTAATCTTCCGCTCTTTCCATGTTTTCACAGCCAGCTCCAAGGGTTGCATGAAAACAATTGACTGTGTGAAATGAGAACTTATTGCTGTGGCAGTGATCTGTGCAACAAATATCATGACTTACTAATGCATCCCCTGATGAATGAATATCTTTCATGTAGTAATAAAGAGCAATGTGTTTCAAATGTTGCTGTTAATTTGTATGACTCTTCAGTTATGTAGTGCCAATTCAGTTCTCATCGCACTTTTCATATAACGCACAGGCCTGTACTAAGCAGGATTTGAGCTTATCCAGCAACTTCAGGGTTTACCCTGGGGTTTCAGTAGCACGACGGTGGTTCGCCTCTTACTGGGGTAGATTGCCATGGTCAGGGCTGGACTGGGACAAATTGGCCTGGTCGGACATCCCTCACAAATACACCATCCTTGCTTTTAAGGGCTTGGATCAGGGGTTTGACAAACATTTGGCCCATGAGACTTGACACTGCACAAATAGTGGGGCCGTGACGAACATTTTAATAGGCTTAGTGTTGGGGGGGTAATTGACCAAATAGTTAGGGGTCCCCTCCAGAAGACTTAAAACACTTAATTTCCTGCATTCTGGTGATTTTTTTTCTGCACCAATTCATCAAGGAAATGTCCTTTTTATATAAAAGGAAACACAACTCAAAATATAGTGCTGTAAGGCTCTCAGCATTCTGTATTGCTGTCAAATGTTTCTCATTTTATTTCATCCCTGAGTCAACACACATGCAGGTATGACATAACCTAAAGTCTTTAAATGTGCACGTGGCTCCTTTTCACCTCAATGAATGACTCGCTTTAATTCAGTTATAAACCTGTGAAAACACCTTTAATAGCTCCTATGTTTCAGCAGCTTTTCTGCACATTAAAAATATCTCACTTATCTGTATTCTGACATTTGCCAAATAACAATTTGAGATATTACAAGATCCTGTCCCACTGCTGTGCATTACCCTGCGTTATTCATCTGCTGATATGGTGTTAGGCTGCTACCCCCTTTAGACCGTCTGACAGAGGCACTCGGTCTGGGACGAGCTCACTGCTTTTCATCAGAGGTAGAAAACCAAAACTGAAAACACCTGTGATCAGACAAACATCACCACATATTCACTTCAGCACCTCTGATAAAGTGCAGCTTACAGCCGCTTCAGAGGGAATTAAACATCCTGGAGCAGAGACAGTCAAACAGAGCAAAGTGTTTCTGAGCGAGGGGGATAGGTGTGTCAGTCATGTAAAATTATTGCAATCTTGAGGGATGTTTAATTTTTAAGTCTCAGTCATGTTAAGCGCAAAGGAAGTTGTCATGTTTTGCCTGGAAACTCCGCCCACTAGGAGCAGCTCTTTAACTGAAAACGTTACCGAGGGCGCCTTTTTCTTTTTTCGGCCGGTTGAATTCACCTGGCTGGACTGCTCTTCAGAGTAAAGGCAATACTACTCTGTCATGTTGGTCAGAAACAGAGGTGGTTAGGCATATCATTTTGACTGAGTAGAGATTTTTATCTACCAGTAACATCGAGCAACACAAATTAGTCAAGGTCAAAACGATACCACTCGTTAGCGTTAGCCTTGCTAAAGCCCTTCAATGTTTAGAGAGCTCTCCAGAAGGTAAAAGGTAGTTAAATGAAATGAATGTCAGCATTACAGATATTCCTGTTAGACGCAGTACGTTCACTGAGCTGAAGTTTTTAAGGACCAGCAAAAACAAACATGAACAGTTGAGTTAATGGTAATGTTAAGTTAATGTTACCACTCGTTAGCTATGCTAATGAGGGTGACTTGTATTTTAAGTGTATTAATAAATCACACAATGTGCAGTGTGTGCTTTTATAGTTTGAACATTCATGTAACAGGTAACGTAGACTAACCATGTTCCGTACACAGCGATATTCTGAACAGATGACCTTTTCCTTCCGATCGCTGAATAAATACTTCCAGGTTATACATAAACTATATATGTCATCATTTCTCTCTCTTTTATCCCTGACCAAGAAAGAGAACCCCCCACAGTTTGTTCCAGAGAGATTTCAGTAAGTTTGCTAGGCGCCTGCAAATGGAGGGTGGGCAAGCTGCAGCCCAGATATTAGCTTTAGGTGGGGAGATAACTACAGCAGTGAAAATGTTCATTTCAATTGGATTAATGCTTCTCACCGTAATAGTCTTTATGAAATGATTGTTATCACAAGTCAATAAATATATTACCTTTTGTTGAGTAACTGCGTTGAAATGGGAATTTTTAAACGTCAATTCCAGACAATGGCCGCTTGGCGCCACACTCGCACTGAGACAGGCAGCAGAGACGCAACACGTCTGTCAACACAGACGGTGTTTCATGCGCCTGCCTGCTGTGGTGATTATATTTATAATATTTTAACATTTAAAATAATTCTTTAATAAATCAACGAACTATAACTGAATTGATTGTGATGTTATTTCATAGCCAACATTTCATAAAAAAATTATTATGATACTGTTAAAAACAATGATAGGATCTTCACACATAACTTCATGTTATTATTTAACTTAATAAAATGTCATACATCAAATGATTGTTTATAAATTTTTATTCAGTTTTAGGTGTAACATACCGTATTTTCATTTCAAAGGAAAATAAGAAAAGCAAGACAAGGGAAAGTAAGAAAATGGCAGGCAAGAAAAAGCAGTACACAAGAGGTGCTGGAAAAGGCAGTTGAGGAAGTGAGCAGGAGCAAGCTTGAGGCAGACGTCCAAAAAGTATGGCATTCCACATACCACCCTGCAGGACTACAAAAAGGAAAAAATAGACACACAACCCTCATCCTAATTTGGCCCTGACACCTGCAGAAGAAGAAGCACTGATTTCATTTATATTTTGGATGGCGGATCACGGCTTCCCAGTCACCAGATCTCTGGTTAAAGTGCTGGCTAGTGGCATTATTAGAGAGTGGCAGAGCTGACAGCACAACTGTTAATCTGGAGAAGGGGCCAAGTGATGTCTGGTGGTCCAGATTTAGGGCCCGCCATCCAGAACTAACCTCCCCGACAGCAGATTCCCTGGACAGAGCCAGAGTTCATGGTGCAACTCCAGAAGCCATTGGAGGTTTCTTTGATCTCTACAAAGCCTTATTCGTCCGTCACAGTTTGTAGGACAAGCCCCATCTAGTCTTCAACTGTGACGAAACTGGCTTTGGAGACAAGCCTAGGTCCAGGGAGAAGGTGCTCTGCCAGACTGGGAGGAAGCATGTCTACCAGCAGCAGCAGACCACCAGGGAGCACATTACAGTGCACTGCTGCGTGAGTGTAGCCGGGGAAAGCATTCCACCCTTCATCATCTACACTGGCTGCCTCACAAGTAATTCCTATAGGCTGGATGGGCCTCCCAACGCCTTCTATGGGATCCAGGAGAAGGGGTACATGGACTCCGAGCTATTCCTCAAATGGCTCTGGCATTTTGTGCAGTATGCTCCGGAGGACAGACCTCTCATTCTAATCATGGACCAACACGAGACACATGTCCCAAAAAATTTAATAATGTACTGCAGGGAAAAAGAAATCGAAATTCTCTGTCTTTAATCCCCTCAAGACCGCTTTCTCCACCATGGCTTCCAGGATGGGTCTAGTGCGAGGGGATCTAGTGGAAACAGTTTTCTTCTCTGCTGAGGAATGTCTACCCCACTGCTGTCACTGCCCAAAATATAAAGGCTGGGTTCCCCAAGGCAGGCATCTTTCCTATGTCCAGGGGGGCTGTGGACACAACCCAGGTAATTTTAACATTAATACAATGATAGAGGATAAATTAAGTTACTTGCGTTTCTTTGTGGTATGCTAATGAGTTTTAAATATGCTTTACTTACTTAGGTGGTGAGAGTGCTCCCATCTGCAGTCACTCCCTCAGCCACGCCATCCATCCCTCCCGCCACTCCCTCAGCCACACCATCCAGTGCACTTGCTACTCACACTCACACAACCAGCGATCCACCTACTGACACACAGACATCAGCCACTTCCTCCACCACTCCAACACCTTGCCCCACTTGTAAAATGGTCAGTCCACAAAATTACCTGGTGGCAGCAGGAGTCATTCCAGAAAGTCTGGCTAATGTACACATGAGCCCAGCCTTGGACAGGAAAGAGAAGGTAAGGCGTCGCCTTCCGCTGCCAGCCCGTGTCATCACCAGTGAGGAGTACGTTCACCTGCTAGAGGAGAAAGAAGAGAAAGCGCAAGGAAGATATGGCAATGAAGAAGGAGGAAAAAAGACAAGCACAGGAGGCCAAAAGGCAGAAGAAACAGGCACCACCTCCAACTGAGGAAGATGGGGAACACTGCGCTGTCTGCAGTAGAGTGGTCCCACCTGGCTCAGGAGATGGGGCCATTGATGAATGGGTGTGACCTTTGCCAACTGTGGTCCCACTTCAAGTGCGCTGGGGTGGAGGAAGTGCCAGACAGAGTGACTTTGTCATAAATGTTGTCTGTCCACATAAAACACACACACACAGTGTGTAAATAGTGCACACACAAAATGAACCCATCCTACTGCTGATATACGGAAAATTTCTAGTTGTAATTTTTAATCAGTTTAGTGTTACTTGTAAATAGTTGTAAATGGTGTGCACACACGTGTTACAACACTCGCGCGCTCAAACACGGAAGTTAGTATCCTAGTCATTTAATTTTTAAGTTCATGGTTTGCACATTAGTGACTTTCAATTATTACATTTTTTTTTAACAAATGCAAATTGTTTCCCCTACTTCTTGTTCTTCAGAAAGATATGGTAACGTTGTTGACTAACGTTTCACATGGTTCATGCTTAACTCACGTGCCTTAATTAATATCATGACACAATCATGCCTAACTCGCATGGTCGTCTAGCTTATTAACCAGTAAAGTTAGCCTAATTAACCTAGGTTTTAACAAAAATAAATGTACTCATCTTTCTTACAGATTTCAATAGTATACTCTTCCGTTAAAACAAACAGCTCAAAAATGATCCGTTTAAAGTCAATTTGGGCAGTTGAAATTAAGGTATGCGCTCTGTACGGAACACCGTTAACGTCTGTGAGCATCCAAGCACAGGCGGAGGAGGTTCTTTCGGCCACTTTTCTCAAATACTATTGGTCCAAAAGACATCAATCAAAGAATAGACAGTCCAATAGGTATTCCCCCAGAGAATGAACACACAAACA